AAACGCATCCAAAATCTACCAAAACCGTTTAATGAGCTGCTGCTCTGTATTTATCACTATATTTTCCATCAGTTACAAGCCCATTTTTCTTCTTTTATCAATGTAATTCTGGTGAATTATGACCAGAAAGAACACAATGTAATGCAATGTAGATATTTTGAGCACTTTAAAGTTTAATTCTAAATTAAATAAAGTTAACAAATGTAATACAAAAATTATTCTATGAACCTTGTCCTATTCTTGAATATATACTTAGGCCTTTTATATTTGCGTAAAACACGAAACTATAAAGTTTTCATTAAAAACAAAAACAAACCATCTTTAGGAAAAAGTGTCATGAATGTGCACAACAGTGGGTTCCATTTCCCTACACAAGCTCGAAATAAACTTGAACAATTCGATCCAAAGTGCGCGTTATTTTCGGCACAACGACGCGAAAGTGTGTCAGCGCCGGAGGATATTCATTTAAAATTAATATTTACGATCTCCTGAATAATTCCTGCGGACAATCAAACGAGACGGATATGAGTCTGAATGGGAATGGGACAATATGAGCTAGCACGCGCTGGGAGAACGTGCCTCGTTCAGCCTTTCCTTTGGTCCCCGGATCACTTCACGCGCAATCCCTCTTATCCGTGCCCGCAGCCTTCAGACCAGCGCGCGCCGGCCTGGACTTCACGTGCTCTTTAAATTCCCAGGCTTGGGGTTCGTTTTTCTAAATTATTTCTGGCTTTACAGCTCATTATTGCTCATTTATTTAAAACAAAATCAGGGAATTTTAACAGTTACGCAGCAGTTTTTTCTTTAACTTTATAAAAAACTATAAAAAACTTTTGATAGAAACTATATTTCTATCAAAATGCGTCCAGACAGAACACCTACATCGGGATACTTTTTAGTATCTTCCCAAATGACTTTAAACACATTATTTAACTCTGGTCAATTTTCCACTACAACTTAATGTCCGTTACGCACAGTTTTTTGTATCTTTTCGTTGTGCGCCCTCGTCTTTTAGCCGGAGGAGGAAGAGGAGGAGGAAGAGGAGAGGAAGAGGAGGAGGAGGACAGGGGCCGGACTCACCGACGGCGTGGGCAGGCAGGCCCGGCGGATGGCCTCGGAGCTGGAGTGCAGCGGCGTGTACTTGGGCTCGTGCAGTATGGGGTGCATACTGAACGGCTGCTTGCTGTTCATCGACATCATGATGGCAGAAGTGAGAGAAGGTCGGTGTCCGTCTTCCCCGTTCGGCTCCGTTGTGCTGCTCTTCCTCCAGAGAAACGCCTCGGACGGGAACGGGAATCTGCCGCGCGCAGATGGCTGGTGACCAAACCTCTGCTGTGGTCACTTGGCTTTAAAAGCGGAAAAACCGTAACGGGGGCTTAGTCCGGGACTCTGGTGGATTTTGGGTTCCCTTCTCGTCGTAAACTACTCCTGTAATAAAGATGCTGCTTGCCTCCGGCGCATTTATTGGACCACTCCCTCAAGGACAACTTCTTATTGGAGGAACCGCCCTCCCTCCCGCAGACGGCCTCCACCAATCAGGTGCGGCCGGCCGGGCTGGGGCCACGCCCCCAAAGCGTTTGGACGCTGTCTGTAAAATAAAATCGAAAAGGATTCTTTGTGGCTGCACGCCAAATGTTTGTCAAAATTGGTGAAAATCAATCAAAGAATACGGGTTTACTCACAAAGTTCTAACAGGAAGAGAAAGCAAAAGAAGCCTCCAAACCGACAGCCTGACTGAAGTTTAGCAAATAGTTCTGTTTTGCTGACAGAAAAACTTAATCACCATGTGGAAGTGGCGTTTCCTGAGTTTCAATTAAACAATTACCTAATTACAGAATTAAATAAGAAGAATTGTATCTAAATCTAACTCCTCCAAACAGCTTCATATAAACGAAAGCAAGTCCAATTCCAATTCAAATATCGACCAGAAGTCCAAAATGAAAAACCAAACCACTTCGATCATCCATTCAATAAAACATTTAGGCTAAATGTAACGTCAGGCCTTTTTTCCATTTTGGGCCTCCAGAAAAAGCTTCATGTTGAAATAATCACTTTTTGAATGCTTAAAAATGCTTTAAAACACACCAGCAGAACTCAGACACCTGGACCAGGTATCAGGCTGAATATTACGCCTAAAAACATGTTTAATATATTATTAGAATATTATTTGATCTACATTAGAATCGGCCTTTGGCTTTGGATGACTGATAATCACAAATTATAATTATGACCCAAAATATAAATAAAAAATAAACCAATCCGGACTGGGGGGGCTAAATGTTTCCAAGGTGTGATTGGATGGCTGAAACAGAGTCATGTATGAAAATAAGATGCGATTGATCAATTCATTCAGACATGTGAGGATTCCTTGGATTAAACTCATTCCCTTTTGTAACAATTAAAACCTTGATTAATTATGTTTAATTTACTTTGTGGCTGTCCTTTCCCAACACACGCAAACATTAAATACAACACATGTGCGCTTCATCCAGTTAAAGCGTAAACAGGCCGGAACAGGAATAAAATGGCACCAGGAAGAGAATTAAAAGCATTTGCGCGTGCACCGTTTGGGGTCCTTCATGCACACGCTGAGCCGCGCGAGGAGGCAAAAGCTGAGCACAAAGATTGTCATCAATGTTCCACTTGTTGTTGTGTTGCACTGCTAATTCCTCCAGGAGAACAACACAGAGTGCACGTTTTATTATCTGAACTATGTCACATTTCACTTATGAGGAAAATCGATCTTCATTCGTTGGGATGTCTCAGTCTGATGAAATGATTGAATGATGCAAATTAGAAAACTCAGCAATCATTCAATAACAACTCTCTAATATCTAAAAGGCGAAGTTCCCTGATCTTGTTCATAAAAAGCCCAGCGTGTTTTCAGTGGGAGTGCATGTGTGCAGAATACTGAAGTTCAGCCATGCTTTTTAAGCTCTCTGATCTGATGAACCTTTTCCTCTTTTTTTTAATGTACACCGACTTTAACTGAGTCACTGAGGGATGGTCCCATGAGCTAAAAGTGATTTAAAAAAAAATCTAAACTTAACATAATATTGTAAATTCACAAATGTGACTTGGTGACTAATTTTAAGGAACACCAGCAACATTCCAGTCATATTCATGTACTGGATATTGACACAAGGGTTCAAGGAGTCTTTGGGGTCTCATTCTAGAAATAAGAGTCACATAATATCATAATGGAGAACATCTTAATTAGAAAGAGCATTAGTGAGATGTGAATGGTTTAAAAGAAGAGCCCTCTGAAGCAAATTATTCCAACTGAATCTCACTACAGTTGGACATTTAGCCCTGTAAAAAAAAAAACAACAAAAAACAGCCACTGCATGCTTCCATGTGACAAATTGTAGCTCTACATTACTATCCTTTCAAAATCAAAGCTCAAGCCGTGAGGCCAGCAATAGGTTCTGTCTCTGTTCTGTTTCTGACTCTACAGTTTCTTTATTCACTGTACTTTTTCTTTATAATTCTGTGAGTATTTTAAAATCAAATTCCATTTTAAGTTTTATAACCAACCAACCTCAGGTTGAGTAGTGATAATTAAAGTGGTCTTGTAGCTTGAAAGAAGGGATAAAGAGGCAGAGTATTCATCTCCCAAAGGGACGTCAGTTCTGGATCCAGCTTCCTCAGAGAGCATGCTACAGTGTTTAGAAGCAAGCTCACATTTCTGAATCACAAACAGTAATATTCATATTGAAATTCAAAGTTAAAGACACAATATAGTACTATTGCAAATGTTTAAAGTCCGACTTTTTGTATTATGGAAATATTAGCTTATCTTGACATTGATGGCAACAAGTCTTTAAATGGTTCTCTGTGTTCTGCATTCCCTCATCGTTTCTCATCCTGGAAGGAAGAGGAATGATGACCCATTATTGGGTGCAGATTGCAGTTGTGTCATGTTTTTTGTATGATTTTCCGATTAATTTAATTCTCTGCAAAATATTAACTCTGACAACTTTTTAAAAAGTTAGCGCTTCCAAGACAAGGCCAGAAAAGGAGGTAAAACATTATAACTAATAAGGTTAATTGACAGTACAACACAACAGGTTACATAAAATAGCTCCAAATACAGAAGTATAGTCTTTACTGATTTCTAAATTTATTTTAAAAAATGCATTTTCTAAGGTTTGATGAAGAAAGGGTCCAGCCCACTTGTCAGTACTTAACTCAAAACCCTGCGTGTTTCCTCCAGGGTGTGTTACGTGCACGGATTATTGTCCCTTATGTTTAGCAATGTGTGCAACGCTTGTCTTTGTACCAGCTCCCGGGGGCTTCAGAGCAGCTTTCTGAGGAAAAGCTGCCTTTTAAAAACACAATTACTTCACTTTTTGACTGTGAAAAAACGATGCGGCTACAGAGCAGAACGGCATTCAGCATTTTCTTGCATTCCCACCATGCTAGAAAATGGAGTGAGCATGCGGTGGCCTGTACTCAGCCTCTCGGTCCCCACTTACACACTTATACACACTGCAGAGTCATCAGAGTGTTTCTGTCAGTGACAGCACTTTGAGGTGTGCAGAGTGATGAGAAAAAGGTCCAGTGGTGGTAAACTTCATTTCTTGGACTCAGGTCACTCTCAGTCAGCCTCTAAGGTGAGCTGCTTTACTTCAGTTACTCCGGTCATAGTCGTTGAAATAATAATAATAATACTAATCGTCATCATAATGAACAACAATCTCTCCAGGACCTTCATAAAGTGATGGTCTGATGTCACTGAGGGCAGACGCATGACATTTCTTAGACTGAGAAAATTCCTTTAGTCAGTTGATTAAATGTAGAATGCCATAAAGCATAGACTTCCTATTAGTCATATTTTCTCCAGGTTTTTTCACAGTGTGTAAATGTAAAGTAAACGTGAGGCGGTAAGGTAGCTCAGAGCATCTGTAAGGTTGGAAATCTGTCATTTGCAGGTATGTGAAGAAGAACACATTCCAACATCCCAAGTGTTTAACTCCATCAAATTTGATATGAACTAGTGTGTTTCAGAAGATAATCAAATGTCTTACACTCAGCATTTGATGTTTTCTGTGCTGTATCCTGACCAAAATTGGTAAAAGGGTTTCTCACGTCCCGGTATTCTGTTTTTATTTACAAACAGCATCCTTTTTGGAATTGGAATGAATAATACATGCGAAAGCAAGTGAGATTACTAGAAACACTGAATGTGTAAAGTCAGAGTGAAGAGTTTATAATGGTAAAGTTGTAAAAAATAATCATATTAAAAATGCATCAAAATATGAATACTTTAAACATATTTAAAAAAAAATGGAACAGCAGATTAAAAACTTGATCAAAGACATATCCACAGTATGTTTCTTTTCACCGTAAAATTTTCCTTCATCTTTTTTAAGCTATCTGGGTCTTTCCTTCAAAAGTAAAGAACAATACTATTATGTTAAGACAGATTCAGCATGTCTTCCAATAAATAAATGAAGCGTTGCAGGTGTTTAAATAAAGATAGTATGAAAAAAGCTTAAAAGTGTGTGATCTAATAAAATGATCTAATATTAACAAGGCAAATAGGATGGGAGACTCAATTCAAACGCTATATCTTAAAATCAAATCATTTAAGACCACAACATTTAAAACAATGTTTACACTTTTCCCCAACAAAACCCTGCTATGAAATGTACAGTTACTTTTCTCCCATAACTAAAACGTTCTATTTTGTCTCTAAATATGATTTTATAAAGTGTATAAAGTAAATGATTTATTTAAACAAACATGTCGCACATTATTGGTAATATACGCATAAACTCCAAACCTGCATAACCTGCAATTCATTTGTATTTGCTTGAATGTTTTTGCCTGGAACACATTAATCATGTTCAGAAAAGTAATTAAAATAGTAGCACATTATATTGCACCTGTATGCACAACAGGTGTAAGATGGAGCTCAAGTTCTTTTACCAAATTCAAAGATGATACACTGGGGGGGTTTATTGATGTCAACACATGAGTTTTATGAACAGAAGAAAACATATCGTATTTATGCAAGCAAATATTCATGCTC